TTTGTTTTGGTTTGGTTTTTTTGTTGGTTTGTTTGGGATTTTTTCCCCCCTTTACTCTTTCCATTTCTTCCATGGTTTAAGAGATCCAGTTCCACTCTGACCAGTACAGCACACACTGGGATCAGTCCAGCTGAAACATCTGGGCATGAATGTTGAATTCCTGGGAATGAGAGGTGACCCCATTTCATCCGTATGTATGGCTCTGGCTCAAAATCAAGCTGCTGGTTGCAGATTTCTCTGCAAGGAGAAAATGGAAGCAATCTTGTGCATCCTGGAATCAGGATCAATTGTTTGGACTCTGGCTGGCTTTTCCCCAGAAGCAGGCAAAGTGACATCCTTCCATGTGGCCTCACATGGGTCAGACAGGTGCTCACCACAGACGTGGCCAGGGACCTGGCTCTAGCCTTTTCCCTTTCTGGGACCACTGCAGATCTGCAGGGACCAGCAGGAACCAGTCCAGGGCACACATCTGTAGGATTATAACAAAACCAAGAAACCACATTGGCAGCTGCTGTAAAACTGCTTGACAGGGTTGAGTTGATTAACTCAGCTGAGAATCCAGCCTGGTGGAGCATAGTGCCTGTGCTGGGCACGGTTTTGGTTAGTGATGTGGGAGGAGAGGCCACAGGCAGACCCGAGTGAGTGCTTAACTCAGGCACCTGTGTGTCACAGGCCCTGTCCCATCTGGGATTCTCCTGGCCACAAAAGCCAGAACGTCACAAAGACAATCTTAGATCAGCGTGGCAAAAGTCCCATCTGTGCTGGTGCCTCCTTCCTGTGTTGGTGCTGCTTTCACACTTGCCATGAGCATTTTCCCTTGCTGTGCACCCTTTCTCCCACTCCACGTGGGCTGCAGTGCCAGGTGCACACAGGTTGTGTGAAGCTGGAGCAGATTTGAACTGTGCCCCAACAAATGTCCTCTCCTGCCGTGCCCAGGGACAGGCATGGCACTTAATGATACCCAACGAGGTCTGTGGTGCCAAACGAACTGGGCAGCCCCGCTCAGAGATTCTGGGAATGGATTAGCTGTGCCCAGCTCAGAGGTGCTGGAAATGCTTTATCCAGTGTCTCAGACTCATGGCTTGGAGTGGGGCTGGGAGAAGAATGCTCTGTCAGTAATTTACTTAATAAATTTAACCTTTCAGCGTATTTAGAATAAATCTTCGGAAGTGTCCAGGTGTCACACACCCAGTTATGATTTTGAAGTCACTCAGTGACCTTTTCTGTGTTTCTCCTTCTCTCATCTGTGGCTGATTTCATGCAAATTTCCAGTCAAATTCACAACTGAATATGCTGGAAATTCCAGCTGTTGCTTGGTTTTAGGGGAGTCACCTCTGTGGTTGACGTTTTATTTCTCCCATGTGGGTCTGTGGAGGGGAATCACCTTGTTCATCCTCCAGCAGAATCAACCCTTTTTTCCCCTTATGGCTTCAGCTGAACTTTGATCTAGCCAACATAAATATTTTCTCTACCAGGAACACTAATTATATTTTTTTCTAGGAAAATAGTAAAACAGGGTGTAAAGTTGAGAAGTCATGCATGTACTTAGAAGAACTGAGGCACGTTCTTGTGTGTGAAAGGAGAGAAAATTATTTATTTCTGTGGGGAACAGAGTGAGGGGAGAAAGGAAACAATTGCAGTGACACAGCAGAGCGGTGCCTGAGATGCTGATAAATTGGAGCCTTTTGGAAACATTGAGGCACCCACGGAGCGCCTGTGTCACCGAGGCATGCCAGGCCCAGGAATACACTGAGCCAATCTGAGTGTGTTTTGGGACAGGATATCCAGGGACAAATAGAGTGAAGAGCAGAGCAGATGAGGCCCCAGAGCAGGATGCACCCTCTGCACGGCACACAGCTCAGCGGATGCTGTGGTGTGTGCAGAGCAGCAGCAGAGCACCCAGAGCCCTGCTTCCCAAAGCCCTTGCTTTGCCTGGCCCTGCCTGGGAGCTGCAGTCACTGCTGGAACATCTGTGTTTATTTTGCATGACAAACTTGTTCCTGGGCTCTGACAAAATGCGTGCTGGTCTGGGACTGGGGTTTGGGCTCCTCGGCAGGGCTGTGCCGTAGTGCTGGGCTGGCCCTGCGCTGCTCCATAATACATATTACATTACTTCATCCATAGTTAATGACAAGTGTGCTATGTTTTTAATCTTTATGGCTTTATTGTGTGCAAGTGGTTTTAATAATTGGTGCTGCAGGATGGTTACTTCCCAGAATTACCCTGCAAAATTGCTGTGTTTTCAGCCTTCAGTCGCGCAGGTTGTAAATTATAAACTTGGTTAGTAATAAACTTGGCTCTCTCTCACTGCTCTGTGGAGAAGCCAACCTGTAACAATGGCAAAAAGATACGTGCTGGCAAAAATTCCTCCCTGAAGCTATCCTCATCCTGTGTGCATGGCCTGTGGGGTAAAGAGGCCCTGTGGTAACCCCTGCTTATGCTTTGTGTGTGTGTGTGACCATGAGCAGGAAAATAACTGCAGTGAGACAGGGATAGTGGTAAGGAGCAAAGGGGCTTGGGGACTCCCTGAACCGTCCCCCCACCTCCTCCAAGACATTCCTCGGTCTCCTGCCCACGTGGAGCTCGAGCACTTCTGCTAGAATTGTGATAAACAAGGCATGTGGTATCCAAATGCCTCTGTTGGTGTCCTGAGCCTGAACTGGAGCTCTGGAATGGGGCTGTGCACGACTGCTGCTGGGACTGTAGCCTTGTCTCGTGTGGAGTCTCTGCTCATCCCATCAGAGGGCTGAGCTTAGGGTGCTGCCCTCCAGTGCAACACAACATACTGTGAAGCCTGGGGCAAACAGAACATTTTTATTTAAAAAAAGGAAAAAAACGCAAAAGTGAGTGAAGGTGTTCTGGAGGCTTGCTGTTTCAGCTGGCTCGTTCTGTTTGGCATTTCTCAGTTCTCTTCTCCTGGGCACATCCCCAGCAGGATGATGATAGTGCCCTTCCCCTGTGCCCTGGGGTGGTGAGGGGCTCCAGGTGCTGGGGCACTCCCCCAAGCCCCAGACAGTCCCCAGCATCCCAAGGAATGCTGTGAGCACGGCAAACACGCACAAACATGCAGCGTCTCTCCGGAGGTGCAGCTCTGGGATGGCCTCAGGTAACAGCAGCTCCTTTGATTGGGCTTGTTGCCTTCAGCTTCCAGCTGCTGGCGACGTTCCGCTGCCTCTGAAACCCTGTTCACCTATGGGCAAGATCCACCTGCTGCAGTCCTCGGAGCCAGGCAGGGGATGTGCTGAAATGTGCTCTTGGAGTGCCTGCAGGAGTTGCTGGAATAGCTGATGATCAGCCTGCAGGAAGATGGAAGTCTGGGGGAGGGTGTCAAGGGCCAGGCAGCACTTCGAGCAACCACACAGCCTGCAGAGCTGAGCAGTCCTCAGCTGGGGACAGGCTTGAGTCCTACCAGCCAACTCTGCTTTAAAGCAACACCAAGTCCTCCCTTAAATTACTGATATAATTTCTTATATTCTGGCTTGAGATGAAACTGTGTCATTGTCAGGGACTTTTTTAAACTTTACATGGGCCACACAATGAAGTATTAATAGCTGTAACAAGACCTAAAGAGGTAATTCAAACCAAATAAATTACTTTATGCTTTAAGCTTCTTTATTTCCCCCAGAAAACCTTGAAGATATGTGGGATTCCTGATAATAACACGTTACCTTTAAGTCCCCAGGCAATAATGGGTGCAAACATTTTTCATTAGTTCCTGAGCTTTGAGATGCAAACATTTGGTTTTCACCCTTCCCTCTGTGTGGGGCTGGTCAGCCTTTAGTTGTTGGGAAGTGACTGGATTTGCAGGTGGCTGTGCATTTCCAGGGTACTTGTCCTCTGTGGATACAAGTGAATTGGGCAATCTTTCTTGTTGGACCAAGGTGCTTCAGTACATGTTTAGCTTGTGTCTTTGGGGTTCAGGTACCTGTTGAATGAAAGACTTTTCATCATTAAATGTTTGAGCGTTTTCCTGTGACTTGGCTAACCCTGCACCATCCTTTTGCAGGCATTGCAGTGCCTCGTGGCCCAGCTGTCTCCTCTGGATCTCTGTAGTGACCCGTCACAGCCCCAGTGGACCTGCCAGGTGACAACCATGAGGCACAGCAGGAGGTGGAGGCTAAGGTAGGAGATGTTCCAGTCTTATTTACACATTAAACACATTGAAAAGCAGATTACCACTGAAGCACACAAACACACACTGACACTGAGTGAAGCACACAAACAGATGCAAACACTGTGATTCCAAGTGCATTCAGGGACAGCCACCTTTCTTCTGATGGCTGGAACAGAACAGCGATCCTGTTTTAGCTGCATTGGACTGAAGAAATTAAAGTAAGAGGGAGGGGATTAAAAAAAAAAAAAAAGCAGCTTTTTTCTGCACGTGTGTCTTTGTTGTCTCCTTTTGGATGCTGTGATTTCCATTTTACTTTGTGTCTATTCCCAGTTATGCAGAGCTCTTGTCGGAATGTGTGTGATTTCTTACTGATGGTGTCCAGTTTGTTTCAGTTAGCATATTTGTGGGCAAAGATTTCAGTCAGATGTGCGTTCAAGACCACCTGATTTGATAGAGGCTTTGAGCAGGGTTTAGCCTTGTGGAATACAGAGGGGGTGCCAGGCTGAGTGGGGAGGTGCCTGTGCCCATGCTGTGCTTAGCCAAGAGCTGCTCTGCTGAAGGCTTTGAGAGAGTTCTCGCTAATTAGTCATCCTGTTTGAAACAATATTATCACTACTTTTTGTTGAATTTTGAAATCCCAATTATGGCTATGCTTGATGGAGGAGAGAGCAAGTTCATCAGTCCTTGTTTCCACTGTTCAAGTGTTCACTTTAACACAAGCTGTTGTGTGTTTGAAAATCAGTGTGTTAATGCTGTGTGTCTCACTCCCCTGAGACCAATTGCAGTGCCTGTTTCAACCAGTGCACAGTATTCCTGGAACTGGGACCTCTGTGACATCAGGGGTTTGGACCCCACACCCTGCAGGCTTGTGACAGTCCTGCTAATATTCTGCATGGGTGTGGTGTCTGGGAGAGGAGACCTTGGGAAAGGGCTGCTGCTGTTACTGAGGTGCTGAATCCCACAGGGGAATGGTGCAGGTAAGGCTCGAGGTGCCCCGCTGCTGGGCAGGGGCACAGGCTGTTGGGAGCTGAATGTGCTGAGCTCAGGGCAGGGCTGTGGCACCTGCTGGGCTGCCTAAATCAGGTGTTGTGTCTCATTTAGCTTTTGCAAAGAGTGTAGAGAGACAGAACTGAACAAGGTTCCTCCTAAAGGGGAGTGCATCAGCTTAACCCCAAAATCAGCCATGAGGTGAACCTGGTCTCAAATACTGGGACACCACAAAGCTTTGTCCTTACAAAGTACACTTTTCCTCTGACAGAATGCAAATTAGTTAATAGTTTCCAGCAACCAAAAATGTATTAAAGCATGATTTGAGCAGGAAGAAAGCCACCAGCAGTACTGCCACCTCTTTGACAGCTCTTCTAATCACCATAGCTTTATCAAGAAGTGTTAAGTTGTATTTTTTTATTGATATTTAAGAATAAATTCTTACAACATCATCTCTATAAAAGGTTCATCACAGACCAAATACCACTCTAACCTTTTAAGCTTCTACAGTAAAAACTGTCGTCTTTATTTATCTAAGTTTGGGAGAGATACAAATGTAATCATAACCCCCAAGGCAAAATTTTATGGCAGTTTTCAGAACTCCTCTCTATAAAAACTACTCAAAGCTACCAACATAAAAGCTCTCAATAAAATTTGCTTTAGATCCTAGTCATAAAACATGAATTTTTTTCCTGGTCCTGGAACTACAGGTGTCCAATCAGCAGCACTGGCCGCTGCTGGATCCCCTGGCAGTGCCAGGCTCCATAAATCTGCTGGGTCAGGTGGGCAAGGAGGGGCTGCTGCCCATCCAGCTCTGCCTTGGCTCATCCCAGCACAGCCTGTGGGTGCCTGCTGCTGTGTCTGGTGGCAAGCAGGGGCACAGGAGATGTGGTTAGATTGTGGCTGGGGCAATTCTGGAAGTGAGCAAAATCTTTAGGTATGCAAAGGACTGTACAATAAAAACAAGCTGAAAAAGAACATCGCAGGCAGTAATGCAGAACTGGACTCTTTCCTCTGTTGTTTGGCCGTTTAAACATTGGGGATCTGCACTTCTTTTGCAAGACTGGTGGCCCTCCAGGTCTTACTTTGGTGCCACAGGAATCCATATGCCAGAGGTTGCCTTAATTAAAGATTCCTTACTGTTATCTGCATGTACAGTGTTAGCAGCAAGTAGAAAACCCTTTATGTAGATTTAGCTGAGAAACCTAATCCAGACCCATGTGCCATGAGGTTGGGTCGGGCTGAATTAGAGGGAACAAGGTTGGGCTAGGGGGGACCCAGGCCTGCTGTGTTCTTGAAATGCAGTTCAGGACTAAATCTCTACAGGCTTCCGTGGATTCTTGGCTCATACTTTATCAGCCTAGGTTAATTTGCTTTTACTGTGCAGAGTGGATTTAACCCTGTTACCTCACTCTGGGTGATTTTTGTTCAGAGACCTGAACCTGTTCTTCTGACTGCAATTAGGAGAAAATCTAACATAGCACAAAGCTGCTGCTGGTAAAGGAGAGCAGAGACAATTCCTAGATGTGAAATAAAAATCACAGCCTCCTTCTTTGGGGTACATGCCTCAAAGCATCCCAGAAATGTCATAAGTAAGAACAACTTGATGTAAAAGTGTGCTTCGATGCAAGTATTTTTCTGAGGCAAACATACTAGTATGTTGATTCCTAAAACTGCTTTTTTCAGGGAGTGCAGGAGGCTAGAGGGGGTCCAGAAAGCCTCCACCTGGTCGCTCACATCTTGTGTTTGCAAGCCTTGGCCTTGCTTGTCATTCCAAGCACCCGCTGCATGCTCCGACTGTTCTATAGCTGGGAAAAATTAAGTGCTTGCTGGTCTCAGCTGATGGACCGTGTGAGGAGAGTGGGAAGCCCACAGCCCCATCTTCTGGGAATTTTACTTCCCATGGTGCTTCCCAAGGGCTTTTTCCTCCTGACTCCCTGTGCTCTTCTGCAGAGATGTCCTTGGGAGCTCTAGTACTGCCAGGAAGGGGCAGTCGGGGAAATCAGGTAGATCCAATAGTTGCATAACACGTGTAATAGAAGCTATGATTAATGACAGGACTTTTCTGTTTATTTTAAAGTAGACTTAAATTGTAAATCTGCTTTCCCAGTTGTGTGTGATGCCAGGAACTGGCTCTGGGAGCATTCCCAAGCTGGCTGTTAGAGCTATATTCCTATCTCCCCATCTTTGCTCCATTGGAGAGGCTGCTGGGTACTTCCTGTCTGTTTGGTGTGTGATTGCTGGTGAATGCTGCTTTGTGGGCACCGTGTGACACAGGAACTTTTCCCCAGTTCCCATCCTGAATCATCAGTTAGCTTAGGACTGTTGGGTCTTTGCTGTGTCCCGGCTAAGAAAAGCTATATTAAGTATATTTTGGTGAGAAAGGTTCAGAGAAGGGATATTTTTTTTTTCTTCTCTGAAGGACTGACAAACTGATATCTTCTCTGGCTGCATGGGCAAAACTACACAGCAGCCACCAACTCTTCCTTGCCTCCCTTCTTCCTGACAGTCCAGAAGGAGCCTGAAGCATTGAGTACCCCGTGAGTTCTAAATGGCCGTCAACAGCCATGTCCTGAAAAAGCAGTTAAAAATCTGTATTAAACTAATGAGACTGTTCCTTGTAGTGGCAACCAACCACAGACTCCTTCTTATGGCACCTTTTAATTATTGTTAGTAATGATAGAGGTTTTGGGTCACTGCTTTGGGAAAGAAGCAAATGAGGAAACTTGTTTCTCCTAGAGACAGGCATTCCAAGCTCTGGGGTCACAGGGGATACAGGGCTCTTTGACCAGTGCAGTCTGGGGACCCAGGGCTGTGTTGACTCTGGATTTTGTTGATAAACAGAGCCATTCATTCCCTGTGCCTTTGTACCTATTCCCTCTCATGAGCTCCAAAGGCGTTTTATTTTCCTTCAGTTTTGGCATGGGATCAGAGGGTGGCTCTCCGCCTGTGATCTAAGTAAAGTAGTCACGATTTGAGGTAGATGCTGTTCATATTATTCATTGCTTCTGGCAAAACAAATGTTGGGCTTAAAATGCGGCCATTAATATTTTGATGAAGTATTGAAGCCACCTGGATTTTGGGCAGAGCCAGGCTGCTGGGTGAGGGGCCTGGTAGCTCCCAGATCCAGATGAGGAGGCCCAGTGAGAGCAGATGAGACTCCATGGCAGCATTCCCAGCCTGAAAGGTGGAAGTACGGGTGGATTGTCACCACCCTCTCCATCCTGTTCAGCTGCTGCTCAAGGGAGAGTGGCAAGGTCCTAGCCCCAGATGCTCCTGGACAGAAACAGGCCTTTAATAGTTTGGATTTCTCTTGTGCAGAGTGTGAGGTGCTTGACTCCTGTGGGCATTTATCCTCACAAAATTAGGGAAAAGAAGGAACAAGCTGTTGGCAGTCTGTGCTTGCACTGAGTGGAGGTTTCTGTGTGAGACTTCTGCAGCTATTGATGGCCTGAGCTCCCTGTATCTCTGCCTTACATGAGGCTGTCAGGCACCTTTTGTGAAGGCTTGACAGCATCATCAATACTGGCATTAGAGCTCCTTGTGCAGCTTATGAGGATGGGATGGGTGTGATGGATATGGAGCCATGTGAGAAATTGGGCAAGGTCGCTGCCATTATTTTCCTGGCTTTCACAGAGGCCATATTTGCTTCCCCGAGTTCTCACACAGGGACATGAATTGATTGGTGCTGCTGCAAGTCAGTTGGCAGGAGGAGTGGGGATCCCCCAGGGGCTCTGCCAGATTGATGGATTGGGTGGGTCCAAATGGAGCTCTGGGTCTGCTGGGCTGTCGGTTTGGATGCAGGGAGCCCTTCTGAAGGCTATCTCTGGGGACAGACACTCTGTGCCTATGTGCTGTGTGAGGTGGAATTGTCTGACAAATCGTGGTGCCCACACAGGGCACTGCAGAAATTGGGCTGTTCTGCCTGTTCTCTGATCTTCAGTTCCATTTTCTCTTGCTGCTGCTGCCTCTCGCTGTGGGAACAGAAAGGGATCCTTCCCCAGATGTCTCCCAGTTGGCATCTGGAACTCATGCTGTTTATCCAGATCCTCATTCTGTCCTCAGAGCCTGGCTGGAGCCTGAGGAGAGAGGTGTGGCTGCTGTACCAGTGGGGCAGTGAGAGTGGGGTGAGCAGCCATATTGCAACTCCCAGTCTCTCTGTGTCTCCCTTACTGCTCCAGCTGGAAAATAATCTGCACCAGACTTGTTTCCTGGCACCAGCCAGCTTCCTTGGTGCCAGCTCCAATGTGTAGGCTGGCACATTGCAGGAACAGGGAATGTGTGTGTGGGGCAAAAGAAGTAGAAACAGTCCTGGCTCCGTCACCTCTGCTGTGACCTGCCCTGGCCCCTGATGGCCCTGCCTTCACGGGGTGGAAAAACATCCAGGACAAGACGTCCCTCTTTCCTCCTGGTTTACACCATTTCCTCCTATTCACTTTACTGATGGTCCACCGTGTCCCAGGTTAAATGCAAATTATTCCCATTCTGCCAAGGATGGTTCACACCAGAAGCAGAAAGTTGCTTCCACTGATCTGTCTGTGAAATACCCCCCAAAGCAGCTCCAGTTGGGAAGAGCTGGTTTTGGTTAGGTTTGGCTGTATTCCTCACAAGGCAGTGGAAGTGCAGCACCGTGTGTGGCTGCCACAGGGACCTGACATGGGAGTGAATTCCCATGTTTGTTTTACAGTAAAGGCTGGCTTGGTGCTGCTCCATGTGTGCAAGCTCCACACAGTTTGTCTTGAGCTGTGTTTTTAGCAGTTCTCAGACATTAAATTGCTTGGGCCATCCTGCAGCAGGATAGTGAGCTTGTGGGAAATGGCCTTTTGCAAAATACTTCCACAAGGTGTTGTAATGCTCCCACTCTTTCCAAATGTGCCCTGGCTGACCTGGGCCACAGGATAAGCAGCAGCTGCAAGGACAGCATTAGAATGGGACATTCCCACTGCACCAGAGCCAGGCTGTCTGCCACAGAGAGGAGGTGGGATGCTGC